TCTAAATCTAAAAAGAAGGTGATCTGACTATGACAAAGGGGTTGATGTCAGTCTCCTCACTTCCAGATCATCATCTTCGTGTCCTGTTAAAAACAGGTCAAAAGTGTGACCTTTTTCATGTGTTGGGCCAATGACATGCTGAGACAGCCCCATGGTTGTCATGGTGACCATGAAGTCCTGAGCTGCCCCAGATAAAACAGTCTTGGAGAAATCCCTCTGAACCACCATTCTAGAGGTTTGCAACACTACATCCAAGACTATTTCATTCAGCTCAGGCAGGGAGTCAGTTAAGCATCATGGTGGGCAGTAGAGCAACAGAATCCCTAATCTGTTTTGATCACCCAACACAAGGTGCACACAGTCTAGACCTGTCTTTGACAGGAACCCTAGAGAGGGAAATTGTATCTTTTTAAACTATAGTCACTCCCAGTCAGCTGGTGCTGCACTGAATACCCAGGTAAGCAGAATTGTGCAAGCATGACACCACCTTTCTCCCTCATCCAGGTCTCTGTAATACAAGCCAGGTCAGCCCCTTCATCTTTAATATCCAATTAAATTATGGATAACAGATGTTTTATTCTGGAATGATCTGGCATTTAACAGCAGCAGCACCAAGCCAGAAGGTAGGTCAGTACAACTGCCTGACATCATCCGGTTGGGAGAAGAACCAAAAAGGGGACAGCAGTAAGACATCTGGTTTCTTGCATTATTGTAGTTTATATGTTGGTTTCTGACAAAGATATTCTGTTCTGATGCCCCTTTAGTAAAGGTTTCATATTTGTGTCAATTCTTCATGTCAAAATCTCAAGCATTTGTGGCATCTGTGTTCAGTTTAGGAAATTAGTTTAGATGCAAAATTGAAGTCATTATTCATGTATTACACATGTGTAGGACAGACCCATGGTGAAGCCACACTCCCCACCTCAGCCTTGGGGGCACATTCTTTTGTGGCCACACCCTCCAACACCCATGCAATAAGCAAGGTTGATTGCATAGGAGTCCTGGTACATAAGCAACTGCTCACATGAAGAGATTCCTCTGTGTACAAGTGTGTTCAGCATGCAAGTACTGGAGGACAAAAGCAATGGGAGTACATGGCACTAGGGTAGGGCTGAAGTGTGCCCCACTGCTCTCTCAAACAGTGCATGTCCTAGCTGCATGTAGCACAAGAACAGTGTTTATGAGGAAGCTGATTCCAGATAACAGTGTGCACTCAGAAGCAACATTTTTTGTATTCTGCAGGAACACAACAGGCAGAATCCTTCCCTTTAGAAATTCTTATATCACATCAGTGCTTGTTCTCAAAGTTGTTAGAATTAACATCCACGTGGTAATTTGCATTTGAGAGTGAGGAGAGGGATTTTTTCAGTCTTAGTTCATGCTTGCCTGCTTTGCTTGCTTCTTCATAACCTGATTTACTATTTTTGAACAGCTTGAACATCTTCAAGTGGCAACTAGCAGGAAAACAAGCCATTTATTGTTCTAGTAATAAAGGAGCTTGTTTAGTGATCATTCCTTCTACCATAATCCTCAAACCTTCATCCTAGTTCTCTCCAATCTGTTCTTTTTAATATTTATACAGAATTTTTGCCCAAAGGTGTTGATTTTCTTTATTACAAAGATAGCCTTCACTCTTCACCCCTCTCTATTAACATTTTATTTATTCTTCTGCTTTCATGAACACATTCTTTTCAGGTGATTTCCAAATCCCCACGAGAAAAGGAGACCTTTTCTTACATATATTATGTTCACAAAATTGATATGGGAATATATGAATCCATGCCTGTGTTTTTTTCTTCTTCATCTTCTCCTGCCTAAGTTTCAAGTTTATTTAATAGACTATGAGCTGGTTTATCCAGAAGTGAAAGCATGTATTTTAGCCTGACAACATTCTGGTGTTCAATAACCAATACTCATTTTCCAGTGAATAGACAGCATGCTCTGAGTGATTTCTCAAGTTTCCACACTGTTAGGCTCTGTTCAGATGTTATGGTAAATAAGTATGTGGCATCTGGTGTGAGTAGACATGTTCCTTGCTCTTCATGTGCATTCAGTCAATATGAGCTGCTTTCACCCTAGCAGATTTTCCTTCCCTTGTGACTGACAAAGAGCTATCTCTCCCCTCATCATTGTTCATTATCTGAAAAGGCATGCTGGCTAAGAGGAAGATTTCTTTGTAAAGATATCATTTAAGTATAGAAGAAAGGAAAAATCCTGCCATCAGAAATATTTGCTTCTAGCACAAAACTATAGTGAACATGTGAAGCACAGGGATTAGTTTTAATTGGAATGTTTAATAACACAGTGTTCTGGGGTTATTTCTGATGGTTAGAGCAGCAGGGAGCCTACAGGGAGAAAGCTGTGAGAGAACTCTTAGGTAGCTCCCTTTATTTTGTAGTAGCAGCAGCAGTAGTAGTCCTTGTTATCAACCATTCTAAGCCCAGTCAATCATGTTTCCCACTAGGCGTTCAGGCATTAGACTCTGAAATAGAACATATCATTATTGGAGAGGGACAGTGTCAGCTACAGAAATAGTGAAATACTCTCAAACAACTTTCCCAAAGAGGGGGTAGTTGTGACTAGGTAGTGGTTCCTACAGTCTTTCAGGTCCACTGAAACTTTCTTCAGAAGTGACCTCACAGCTGTCTGCTTGAAGGTGGCTGGGACCATTAAAAGTCTGCTGAACTCATTTAGTCAGTCCTCTTCCATGTGATATAAGAAGCCAAGCTGGACAGGAGCTGAGACAAAGGTGGTTGGTCAGATCTCTCCAAGCCTAACCACATTTCCATGCTACAAGAAATAATAAAATTGTGCCAGATGTTGTTCTGATTACCTTCTCTAGAACTTTACCAAGAACAAATGTCAATGACTTGACCCTCACAGTGCCTAGCAAAACTACCAAAACAGACCTTTACAGTTCCAATATATCCCTCATAGGATTCAGATGAAATAGCCTGCTCAAGAAAGCTCTTCTGGATGTTTACTTAATAATGTAATAGAGATGACATCTGCTCAAATAGATTTGTCCATTTCTGAGGAGGTAGTGGAGGAGCAAGTGAGGGTGGAGTAGTTGAAAGTTTCAAGGTTACTATTTTAAGCCATGATCCCCCCCTCCCCCCCGGTAACAGTCTCACCAGTGGTTCTTTGCCAAACATCTTTATTTTACATGTAAGTCTATGAGTATACACAAAGTGAAATGGTGAACCCTCACTGACATTTTTCACCCAAAGTTTTCCTTATGAATCCTTCTGCATCTTTTCCTTGGGGAGGGGAGCACTGTGGAACTGGAGTCAACCCACAGAGGCCCCAGTCAACCCACAGAGGCCCCAATTGGGCCACTCTACAACTGTGACTATCCTCAGGAGTCTGGAGTTCTCCTTCCAATAGATTCCCCATCTCCAAATCTCCTCCCTCAAGATATTGCTCTTCCCCATTCCCTCAGGTGGGTTGACTGGGCCACAGGGCTGCCTTGAACCAATTTCTTCCATAGCAGACACAAGCAGGTATACAGGGCCTTGGACTACAGCTGGAACTGGGTCTGTTTCCATAGTCATCTCATTAGCAGAATCTGAACTGTCAGACTCACCAGAGACTGCAACCTCCCCTGCACACATCTCATCCTCGAATTCTGAGCTGTAAATCCTGCCAAAATCCCTGAGGTCTGCCAGAAAGTACACACACAATAGTTACCTAATGAAGTTTCTCAGACAGAGTATGCAAATCTGCCCACCTTGGAAAGGGCAGAAGATATTTCAGGGTGGGAGGGGGAGCAGATGCAGGAAGAGTTCTGTGACACTGTCAGGTGATGGCATATGAAGCAAGCAGAACAATTAAGAAGCCACTGGTATTCCAGCCATCTAGCACTCAAGCAGCAAAGAGCCACCCTGATGGTAGAGTCAGAAGCCATACTGAAAGGGAAGGAAGAAGGGGAAGTTTCAGTTTGAAGTCAGCCCTTCATATGGGCAGATGCTTCTCCCGCATCTCAAGGAGAATGCTAGTTTGATTTATTTTGTTCTATAACCAGATATGTTTCAATAAAAGAACTGCACTTCTAAGGTTCCATTTTGAGTCTGCTAAAGAAAGGGAAAGAGGGAAGTGACCTGCTCATGGCATCTAGGAATGTGCAAATCAGCAAAACTTGAGCTCACCAAAGTTCTCTGACTTCCACCTCTAGACCTGTTCCACCTCAAATCTGTCATTTTTTCAGGAAACTGAAAATACATTTTCATGTGTATTTTCTTCAAATATGCACATCATTTGAGTGAAATTTTGAAATTAACACATTCTCCAATTGATTAAATGTATGTATCTTTTCGAGTACATTTTAAAAATATGTGAATGTTCTTGAAATCCTATTTGGGGTCTGTAGATCACATTTCAGGCTCAGAACTGCATGGATTTCAACCACTGGGTCTGCACCTGTGCTAGATTCAAAAGGCGTGAACAGGGGAAAGCTTGATTTTAAAAACTGAACTGAAACAAATTTCTCATTCATCTCTGGTTAGAGCAGGTGCATACATGCCTCTGAAATTCAAATCCCACCTTCAGCCAGAATATTTGTAAATTTGAGTATAAAGTAGGAATTTCCCCATGTAAGCTATTTGAGGCAGTTTTGAATTATTCTATTCATGTTATTTGTATGTGGTGTATAAATATCTCAAAAATTCTAATACCAAAAGCAATAGAACTTAAATATTTGATCAGGGTTTTTAAAATCAAACATTAGAATGCAGGGTGGGTTAAATATTGTACACGTTTTAAAACAATCTTTATTTGCAGATAATCACTTTGTCATAGTTATACATCAATTGCCATCTGATAGCTTCTTTTAGCTATCAGAGGGAATGACTAATTGTGGTTAGCCTTTAAAATGCTCACAGACGTTCAGTGTTATTGCTATTGTGTTCTAATACCTGGCTTTTTGTTCTGGGCTTTCTTTTCTTTTTAAAAAATAAAGTCATTGTATTTGGACTTGAAATGTTTTTTTAATTTCCCCCCAGTGGACTTTTTGCTGGCAACTTCATGGAAACACACTATTTGGAAGATGGTACTAGTGGTGTTCTTGAGCATAAAAACACGGTAAGATATGTGACTACTTTTTCTGGTGGGGGGGGGTGAAAGATAAATGATACTTCCACATTAAAAGAACAGAAAGGGAACCATGAAAATAAAATGGTTGATCTTTATTTGATTTCAGATCATTGTTTAGGTAGTTTACTTGTCCCTTTGTTCAAAATTTGCATCTTTGCGAGGAAATGTTCAAAGTAGTGCATGATGAGAAAGCTTTAATGTTTATAAGATTTGTGCTTTATGTGCTCTGCGAAAATGTGCCCATCAGAAGGTTAAAACAAAAACAGGCTGCAAGTCACTGTAGTTGCCACAATAAGGCATGGGAGCCAGCTTCTGTGATGTGATGTGGAAGTTCTCAGATGAGTTGAGAAAACCACTGTGGCCCTTCTGTGGTGCAGATGTCCCCCTTTGCTTCTCATTCCTTTTCAAGAATCAGACTCTAAGAAATATGTATTGGTGGGGCAGTGGAGAAGGGCTAAAAAAGAGAATCCCTGTCTTGCCTGATTTTGGTAATAGTTACAACAAATATTCTCACGAGGAATTTAAACTTCCTTTTATAAAATATGAATAGTACTGTTTTGAAGCAATGGCTACTTCTACTCCTCCTCCTCCTCCTTGCAAGTGTAAGTAAATCTGCCTAATTAAAACAGTACAGTGGCTGGTCTTAATTATTACATTTTATATGTTGTTTAGATCCAGCTTAACTAGCTTTGAATTTTTACAATTTGATGTATCAGTGGCAAAATTAAACTTCTCTTTGTAGACAGTACCACATGGAGTTATGTGATGGCCCTTCTCTTATATTGGGGCTGTTGGCATGAACTGTTTTTAAATTAACATCCAAGTTAAATGTTCTAATCAGCATTCTGCACCCTGGTAGAAGAAATAGTTATATCACTCTGTATTGAAATGGAATCCTTCTTATCCCAATTGCATTCTGGTACTTTCACTTTGCTCTTCCATCATTTTAATCTTTATATATACTGTAAAAGGCACATTCTCAGACAAGTAAAGCACACTGTCAACATTTTTGTGAAATATTTGTCATTTTGCAAATGTTGAAAGAGTTGCTAGTCTAAGGTATTTCTTTTTTTAATAATGTAACATTTACTGTAAATATACACAGAGACAAAACATGACACACATTGCATAAATTCATATTTAGATTTAAAACTTATATACTCCTAGCAATCACCAAACATACTAATCCTCTTTTCCATCATACAATATTCTCTGAAAATCAACCTACGTTCTAAAAGCCCTGAATTTATTCCTGTCCGAATCAAATTGCAGTTTCACATAAATAATAAATAGCATGCAGAGTTGTTCAAATTTATGTTCTTTTCATCTACTCTCTCATAGATAAACTAATTCTGTTAACTTCATCTTTGAAGTAAGGCACCATACCTTATTAATCCATTCTTCTATAGAGGGAGCAATAGGTAGTCCCAATTTGGCAGCAGTAACTAATTTAGCAGCAATAAAGACATTCCCCACCAATTCCACATGTTCACTTTTAACAACCATGCTCTCAGGTACTTCTATTTTTGTTTGGCTCTACAGTCATAAAACTACAGTGGGGTTTCTCACGATAAGATCTTCCAGAATTTTGGTGTTGTATTTTATTTATTTATTTTTTTATTTTTATTAAAACATTTCTATGCCGCCCCTTGCCGAGGCCTTTATGATGTAGCATGAAGCAATACCTGAAGGATATAACTAGACAAACTGGTGGGACAGCCACAATCATGCTTTTGTATATTTTAAAGTCCAAATGCTCCACCAACCTAGTCTGGGTCAGGACCACATTTTCAGGTTAAGTGGTTGTCCTTTGCTTCCCTGCTGGGTTCTTTTTAATGAAATCACACATACACACCACAGACAAGAGCTGTTCCCCTCCCCTCACATGGAGCAAAACAGACAGGGTGGTGATATATTGTGCGGTGATTACTGTAGGGACTAGACCCACTTCTGCCAAAGTACAGCATTCTAAGTTGGTTATCATAAAGTCTGAATCTGAACTGGAAGAAAAGGTGGGGTCAGCATCCTTAGGTGAAGTGCCAAGACCAGTACGTTCTGAGATTAATCAAGCAGCTGATGAGAACCAGACCATCTCTGGTTCTGGGGAAGACATTGCTAAACAAGCAGAGCCAATGCAGGATGAATGTAACATAATCAGTCACATTGTCTGACATTAGTCCAAAAGATCGTGTCATGTAAGGAATGTCAAACATTCCAGCTGTCTGGATAACAGGAAGTGGGATAACACCCCTGTGGGTGGAGCAGACTCTATTTGGGAGGAAGAAGATGCAGTTTGGAATCAACTCCTTAGTGTGACTGGTAATTTTCCTAATTCTCTGGCTTTCCAGCTTGATGGATATCTTTTGTTAACAATCACTTCAATATTCCTTTTATATCAGAAATTCAGCCTGGTTGGTCCACCTGCACATAATAATGGCTGTAATTAGAAGCCTCATGTCTTGTTCTGCATGAAAGGAGAAATGGGAGGAATAAAGACCAGCCCCGGACAATGACATACACTGGTAATGGATAGCACATTCCATCCTGCAGATTTTGTTAATTGCACTGGTACCCCATTCCTCAGGATAATTTTTGGACCAGTGGAAATAAGTACGGCAATTGAAATCATTCTCATACAAGAGGAGATTGTTGGATCATTGAATCTGAGTTCCTGAGGTGCAAAATGAGTCTTTGTGTAGAAATGATCTGGAAACATAGAAACACAGCGAGTCAGAAGGGGCCTCCCAAGCCATCAAGTCTGACCCCTGGCTCCAGCTGACTCTGCTCATGTAATACCCAATATGTGGTTGTCCAGTCGTTCCTTGAACACCCTCACTGATGGGGCCCCCACCACCTCCAGTGGAAGCCCATTCTATATCCTAGGGGTCCTAAATGTCAGGAAGTACTTCCTGAGATTCAATCTGAATTCATCCATTGGACTGCATCTATTCCTCCGCTGCAGGAGAGAACAGGTCGCAACCCTCTACCATGTGACACCCCTTCACATACCTACATGTCACTCTAAAATCCCCTCTGAGTCTCATCTTTTCCAGGCTGAAAAGACCCAGCTTTATAAAATAAAGTTTTATAATCTGTGCTCATTATCTAGAGATAATGCATCTCTAATCTAGAGATAGATTATTATCTAGAGATAATGTTTCTATAACCCATAGATACAAGGATTATACATATATCAGAGGCTGAGTAAACCAGATTCCTCTATTGAGATATCAAGAGGGGTTCCTGACTAGTCCATCATATATTTCATCATGCCTGGCATGTTTGCAATGGCTGTTCAGCTAGACATTGCTTGCTTGCTTGCTCTGGGAAGAGCAACTCTTCAGCCTTGATTTTTTTTTCTTTTCATTTTTGCTTTTGCAGTTATACCACAGTAGAAATTAAACGTATGTGTATTGATACTGCTTTTTCAGTTTTCCAACCATTGTTGATGTGCTCAGGCATGCATGTAGGTTCTTAATGGGCAATAGTGAGGCATTATTTGGCTTTTCTTCAGCTCATTTTAGCTAAACTTCTCCCTTAATTGTACACTTCCCTCTTAGAGTCTTCTAATTCTACAGGATTCTCCTGTGAGGGGCAGATCTTCAGTCTTTCTCCCTCTCCCTCTCCCTCTCTATCTCTCTGTGTGTGTGTGTGTGTGTGTGTGTTTGCATTTCTTTATCTTGCATTGTGTTTAGAAAACCACCCAATTTGTGTAAAATTATGATTAAAGTAGAACTTAAACAAGATATTTGGAACCTAGCATCACATGAATGTAAATCAATGCATTGCATTACCTGCAGTTCCAAGACAGCACTTCTTTTAAGCGTACAGTTACCAAGAAAACCAGTCAGTAAGATGAACTTCCACTGATGTGATTTTTCTAAAAATAGAATGGAAAAAATGAAAGTTGTACGCAATATGTAAGAAAAACTACAATGGACCTGAGAGCAAGATTCTATAACCATAAATCTGTACTTCTTACCAAAAGAAAACTAGAGCAGCTTGTTGTAAGGCATTTTAACTCACCTGCACATGCACCCAGATTTACAGTTTCTTTCAACTGGACAAGCAAAGGTTGCTGACATAGAATCATAGAACAGTAGAGTTGGAACGGGCCAAGAAAGCCATCTGGTCCAACCCCTGATGTTGTAAACACCAATTTACACCATCTCACTCTGATGACTGTCTAGTTTCTTTTTGAACGTCTGCAGTGTGGGAGATCCCATGATCTCTCCAGGCAACTGATTTCACTGTCATATTGCTCTGACAGTTAGAAACTTTTCATGATAGCTAGCCTGTATCTTTGTCACAATTTGAAATAAAAGAAAACATGCTTGATACAAAAGAAAACATCTGCATCAACGGACTCACAACTCTGAATCTATATGGCCTTTATGTGGAGGACAATTTATACCACTTGTAACTCTGTTCCTCTCTAGAAATTTTCATCACCCAGCATTCCAAACCACCATGCTTGTCATCAATTTATACCTAATGATCAGGTAGATGCCAACATATTTAGCTCTAAATATATTCTAAAATGTATTAGTTTATCTCTCTCTCTCTCTCTCTCTCTCTCTCTCTCTCTCTCTCTCTCTCTCTCTCTCTCTCTCACACACACACATACTCCAACCCCACAACACACCCACACTTTAAAATATGGAAGGCAAAAACTAATTCATAGATGTTATCTCATATATGTGTGTGTGTGTGTGTGTGTGTGTGTGTGTGTGTGAGAGAGAGACAGATTCTGGTTTTATCCAGATAGAAGGTAGGATGTAAATGTAATGTAATAATAAAATGTGCACAGCCAGCAGATTATAACACAGTCACAACTCAACATCAAATAAAAAGGATACATTCTCTTGTGCTAAATCGGTATTTTCTTTATAGTGTAATCAAATTTGCCAATAATTCATATTCCTGAACTGTTAAAATCAACTCTGATCTTTTAACATTATTGCTTTCTCTAACAAAATTGGGGTGGTCTTTGGAAGTCTGCAGTCTGAGACTATGTAATTGAAAACCATGCCCTGATATTGGGAAGGTTAATTAATGCAGCTTAGATGTGAATGAACCAAGGAATAAGCAGCAAAGTTAGATGACCGTCTAGTTGAAATATGAGCAATAATTTTCCCTTGCACTAATAAGATGGCAACCTTTGACAAGGGGCTTTTGGGTCCCACATGGCATTCGAGGAAGTTAACACAGACAGACAGACAGACAGTCAGATGTGCTTGTCATAATATAAATGTTACTTACCAGGTCCATAACCGAATATTATCTTTGAACAGCAATAGCATTAACCTTGAATTCCAGAAAAATCTGCAACTTTATTAACTATGTATCTTCTATTGTGGTTGCCTTTTGCAAGCAGCTAGATTTATTAAAGAAATACAATAAGTCAGCCACAAAATGAAACAGAACCGTTGATTCTGAAAATCGAATTCCGTTATTCCTATTCTTAATAGCATGCTGCTTCTAACTCAGCGTAATTTAATAAAATGATCTTTCTCTTCCCACCCTTCTTCGCATGTTCCATTTCTTTCTGAAACTATAAAGCCAGAGAATGGTTTTATTACATTGCACAGTATGCATAATTACATCTTATGAATCTGCCTCATATTACTAAAGACAATTTACATCTACAGTGAAAACCTAAAGGTGCATGACAGTATAATTTGCTCTCCTGTTTAATTTTACAAAATGCTTCTCATCATGGTTTTCCAATAACATAATAAAAAGATCAGGGTTGCCATGAGGAAATATTTTAAATACTTGTCTGATCTTTGCCTTTTTATTGAAAAGGCACAGCCACATATTGGCATTTAAATCATGCATTAATTAGGTCACACCTTGCTTCAAACAGGCAGAAGGATGTTTTCAACATGATTTCCTCTGCAATCTGAATTTGAGGGGAAGGTTTTGTATAAAGAGGAACAGAAAACATTATCTTTTCATTCAGAGAACATAGGGATTGATTTTTGCTCTGCTCTTTGTTCAATTAGAGCCATTGCTTCTACCATGGTCATGTGCAAGATTATGCTGGGTCTGCAGTAAGTCTGAGTACATGTTCTGGACTCAGGTAAGTGAGACAACCTGAAATCATGAAAGCTTCTAACAATACATGGTCTGCTAATCAATTCCCAAGCCATAGTTTGATTGCTTTATCTCTATACTGTACTGGTCTGGCCTACTCAGCTGTCAAGAAGCTACAGTGATGAGATGTATAGTAATATCTAGGGTGCAGTCACTTTTAAAGGTAAAAAAAGAAATGGTTCTATTTGGACCTGGCCTTTTGTTTGGGCTTTGCCATGCTTTATTTGATCTTGTTCTCCTATCTGACAACAAACAGTTGGCCCTGTGAATACCATGTGGCAGGTCAAGCATTGTTGTAAGCTTTTATTAAGGACAGGAAAAGAATCTGATGCAGGGTGAAAATGTGCCATATTTTCACAATTTACTCCTCCCCCTAGATTTTGGAGTACCAGCCCCACACTGGTATTGATTTGTTACAGAGCCAGTCAAGCCTGTCTCCAGCAGGTGGTGATTTGCATATTAGCACACACAAATAGATGTGGCCACTTTACACAGATCGGAACCTGAAAAACTTGAGCTTTTAGAACAGCTTGTGTAAAATTAGCTGATTTGTACAAATTGGCACCTGAAAAACATGTGGTCCTAAGTGTAATTTTGCTTACTGTTGAATTGAAAATGGACAGAAAGTCTATCCAGTTTAAATGAACCAGATTACCCCAGTTTAGCTTTTATAGTCCACTCTGGTAATTTCAGGGATAACACCTTCTGTATCTGCTTTTGCACCTGTTTTCTTACCCATTATCAGTTTAAAAGTTGAAACTCCTCAATCAGAGAATAGTCTGATTCTTTTTATCAAATGCTAGAGACAAAGAATATGAGCATTAGCAGTAGTGTCAGAAAAAAATGATTGAAGTCATTCTAACACAACGAGTCTAGGACTGGAAAATGTCTTGATCCATTATGTTTTAATAATGAAAAATGAAATAGTGACTTTGAATAGTGAATAAAGAAAAATGTAAGTGGATTTTATTCTATTTGTTATTCCCCTGGCCTCATTGTATGGAGACAAAAATTAGTTTGAAATACAAAGGTCCTTTGTTAATAAACTTGTTTTAGACTAAATATAGACTAGGCTCCTGAAAAAGCCTATCTATTTCTCAGTTTTTTTTTTTAATCATTTCCTGCCCTCTCCAGTAGCTGTGCCTTGATGAACTTCCTGTTGTGGTCAATTGTGAACTCCTTGACAGAATCTGATTAGCTTATAAGATCTACATTTTCAAAGCCAATACTGAAATTGGAACAAAACCAGGATCCAATTCCTGAAGTCTGAGGCAATCAACCCAATAGTTCAGAGATCAGCACTCAAATGACACTGGATAAATGCAAATATTTATGCAGTGAAAGATGTGATGAGTCAAATTGAATTTGAGCTGTTTGTTAACAAAGGAAACACATTTCTTTCTTTCCAAAAAAAGAAAGAAATGCCCCTTCCCCATGAGTCAGAACTCCCCCAAGCCCACAACTGAGGTGTTGGTCTGTAGAATAAAAGGCTGGGAGAAATCTGGCAACCGTAATATGGGTTGACTGAGAAGGCAGGTTCTTCAAGTCTGAGAAGGCAAGTCTTCAAAAGCCTGCTCCATTTTCCTGGACCACACTAGGGTATGGTGCCTTTTCTTAAACTGCATCTGTCAAAGGGACAGCTTTGGAGGAGAAAGGGGAATAAATCACCAGTGGTAACTGATGAATCCCTTTTCGTGCAAGGCCATGGCCCCTGGTTTAACTTTTCCACTTTATCTGCCATAGGCTGTATCTGACCATGCCCTATGATGTACCCCAAATTCTGTACCTCTTATCAAGCTATTTTACACTTGCTCTGGTTAGCCATCAACCCAGCTCACCTTAAAGCAGCTAATATGTGCTGGAGGTGATCTAGGTGCTCCTCCCAAGTGCAACTGAATGCCACAATGTCATCTATAGGCAGCCACACAATGGGACAAGTGTCTCAAGACTTCGTCCATAAGCCGCTGAAAGGTGGTGGCGGCCCCATCCAACCCAAAGGGCATATATTTAAATTGAAATAGGCCTACAGGGTGGCAAAGGCTGAGTTTTCTTTGGACTTCTCAGTTAATGGAATTTGCCAGTATCCCTTAGTGAGGCGGAAAGGAAATGAGTCTGCCCCAAAGGATCCAGCAACCCATCTATCCAGTGCATGGGGCAGGTGTTGAACTTAGATGCAGAGTTGACCTTTCTGAAATTAATACAGAAGCAGACACCCTTATCAGACCAGCTGACTTCTCCAAGGGCTCACTGACCCCTTTATGACCCCAAGTTGAAACATTTGCCCTAGCTCCTCTATTATTACTTGCTTCAGCTGAGGTGGGTAGGGCCATGTTGGTACTCAGGTAATGGCCCCAGGGACTATTTGGATGTGAGGGGCCCCTGCATCCAGGCCAGTTGAAGAATACTTTGGCAATCTTTTCCTGCAAAGCCCAGACTTATGCTATTTGAATTGGAGTTATCAAGAGATAACTTCCCAGGATAGATAGATGGTCCCCTTGGGTTCTCAGGTCCCTCAGGTGTGCAATCTGCCTGGTGTCCGGAACTCTCTCTTTCTTTCCAAGCTTTGAGTAGATTTACATGGTAAAGCACTTCTTATCAGTGAGACATATCTCATAATCTACCATCCCCACCTTTCTAATGACCTCACAGGGGCCCTGCTACTGTGTAAACAACTTGGCACCTCCCATGAGTAGGAGCAGGAGAATGTGTTGGCCTGGTCGGAATGTCCAGGTTGGACCTGCTGATCATAGTAATACTGCTGCTCCCCTTGGACCTGCCTCAGGTTACTTTCTATCCGCTGAGCTAGATCAGTGAGGTGCTTTCTCATATCCAGCATGTATTGGACGGTGGAGGTGGGTTGTGGGGTTAAGGCTTCCCAATGCTCCTTGACCAGATCCAGAATCCCCGGGGGGTGCTGCCCATATAACAACTCAAAAGGTGAGAACCCCAAAGAGGCTTGAGGTACCTCCTTTATTGCAAACATCAGGAGCCCTAACAGAATATGCCATTGATGTGGATAGGTTGATACAAACTTTTTAAGCCTCCACTTAAGGATTTGGTTAAACTGTTCCACTAGCCCACTTGTTCCCTTACTTCCATTGTAAAGCATGCAAGGAAGCCAGTTCACTCACTGGACCTCTTTATTGCTGTTTTACAACTTCTTTTGCAGCTGTGCTGCCCAAAGTGCCAAAGCCCTCACTTGCTCTGGCCCTTCCTCCTTCCCATATCTATGGCAACAAGCAATGTCACCCCAGAGCAACGGGAGGCTGTGTGTCTTGGTTGCAGGGTTTCCCCTTGCTGCTTCCATCCGGTTGTCTGCAAAATCTACTTGTTTGTTTCTCCCTCAGTCCCTCTCCTCCCTCCCTGTCTCTCTCTGTCTCTCCCTCTCCTCCCTTCCTCTGCTTCCCCTTTATATCTTCCTTCCGTGCATCATTCCACCCAACCTAGCTATTCCTTCACAGGCCAACATTCCACACAGCTGCATGCCCAACCACACATCCCAGCCATTGGAGTCCTGTGAATCATTCTACCCAAGCAGATTCCCAGACATGCCCCATTGTCTTTGTCCCTGCTCCGCTGAATGCTCCAGGAAAATGGGTCAGCCCCCCTACTTCCTCACAGTTACTTTGTTCACTAAGGCTTCCTGTTGGTTAGGATCAGGTCAGGTAAAGCCATACCTCTCATTCCTGCTTCTACTTTCTGCTGAAAGAAGTTATCAGCAGCAAATGGCAGGAATTTCTTAGCAGGGCCACATAGGAAGAGTTTGACTCCCAACAGATATCAGGGAAATTGAAGCCACCCATAATGACATCATGCCTCTGTGAAATATTGGCAATTTATTTTTTAAAAGTTTCATCTGTATCCTCATCTCAATTGGGTGGGCAGTAATAGATTCCAACAACTATGTGCCTTTTATTCCTTTCTGCATTCATATTAGTCTAGATATACTCAATGAAATTAATGATCTCTTCTCCCTGTTTCTTCACAGAGATGTGTATTTTTTAAAATACAATGCAATTCCACTTCCTTTTCTGTTTCTTCTATTCTTTTTGAACAGGTTATACCATACAATTTTTCAATTCCATTCGTGGGAGTCATTCCACCAGGATTCAGTTATGCCTATTAGGTCATATTTGCCCTCCTGTACTCCTGTTTATGTTCTTTATTTCCCATACTTGGGCATTGGTGTATGGACATCTAAAGCCAACTGAATTCTTCCCTGGCTTCTTTCCTAAATTTTTTGGGGACACTAGTGTTAGACCCAGCTAGAGTTTCTTTCAGTGTTGTAGTTCATAATCCTTTGTCAGTTTAAGTACATGTACCCCCTCCTCTGTAGGATTCAGTTTAAAGCCTTCCTGATCTACTTCTTCATAATGTGGCAAGCACATCCTTTCCTTTCTTTGTGAGGTTCCAGGAAGCTTAGCCTGTGGTTCCAGAATCCAAATCTGTGGTTCCAGAATCCAAATTTTCCACCCTGATGTAGTTTTCATAGTTTTTCCAAGTCTGATGTAGTTTTCTCAAAGCTCTTGTTGGCAGTATCATTAGTTCCCACATGAATGAGAAGGAAAGGTTGCATGCCAGTGGGTTGTGTATTAGTAGGTATTAGTAGGTTGTATGAGCATTGCTGGTCTGTTAGTTATATCATTGATCTTTGCTTCAGGGAGACACCACACTTGACAATTCCAAGAGTCTTCCTGACATGAGTGAGATAGAAAAACACTTAAGAAAAAGAGGGAATCTTCGACAATTATCACTCTCCTCCATTTGTGGTTGCAAACTTGGGTATCTTTTTTCCTTACTTTTTTGTCTCTTTTTCAGAGTTACTCAGTGTGTCATGTAGTTTCTTCGCAGTGGGTTTCTCATTTGTCGTAACTTTCTCATAAGTTAAAGCAGTTTGAGAGTTCCACTGCTTCCACTGATACAGAGCATCTTCTTCTGCACCTAACTGCCACCCTTTTCCAGGAAGTTTCCTCATTTTACCTTCCC